TGTTCAATGACACCTTCAAGAGTGGCCAGCCAGGAAGCACAATGCTCCCTGTCTGGTCTAGGGCCAGCAATTGTGAGCTACCAGCAGAGCCATAGGGTGGCACAAAGCAGGAAGGGAATCCATCCATCCCCCAGAGGCGTACTCTCCCAGGGTCAGAAGTATGACCAGTGACCCCAGCTAAGAACCTAAGCAGCAGTGGAGAGGCTGCCTTAAATGCCCATGCGTACTAGGGATAAATACTGATCCACTACCAGAGGCCCCATAGATTGCCCAGACTTCCAAACTGACATCCTCCTTCAGGGGGTCTGGAACAGTCCTATGTTGGTTTCCTAGCTTTCAGTCTGGGGTCCATGTGCTCCTCCTTGTTCAGGTCAGCTGTTTCTGTGGGTGTCTGCAGCCTGTTCTTGACCACTTTACTCATCACTCTTCCCTCTCTGCAACCGGATTCCAGAGTTCAGTTCAGTGTTTAGCTGTGGGTGTCTGCCTCTGCTTCCATCAGCCACTGGATGAAGGCTCTAGGATGGCATCTAAGGTAGTCATCAATATCATCATCGGAGAAGGGCATTTAAGGCAGCCTTTCCACTGTTGCTTAGATTCTTAGTTGGGAGCCCATAGAGGGTTACTCTCTCAGCCTAGAAACTTGGAGGGAGGGTCTAGGCCCTGCTCCAAATGATATGACAGACTTTGAAGATTCCTGCATGGAAAGCCTCACCCATCCTGGGGAGCAGAAAGGGGATGGGATAGGGGGCCGGTGTGGGACAGGGGAGGGGGGGGGAGAGGGAAGTGGGATTAACGTGTAAAAGAAGCTTGTTCCTAATCTAAACTTTAAAAAAATGGAAAAAAAAAAAAAAAAGAATGACCAGAGAATGGAGGGCTAGGAACTGAATTGTCAGAGCACCAGGCCAACTGACAATCACGCCACAGGCCAGTCAGTAAGAATGAAATCGGAGTTGGCCAACATTTGCTATTCTTGATGCTGGTTAAAAGCATCCTGGGGATTCCAGTAAGCAGAGGTGACCTCTGGGAGTTCTGAACAAAGGGAAGTCACGGAATCACACCTCCTTAACGCGTAACTTAAGGTGGAAGGGTTTGCTTTGCTCTCGGTGTTGAACACCTCCGCGTAATCTCCCACCCAAAACTCCTTTTCAACCTCAGCTCACTTTCCCAATAGCCCTGTGAGCATCCCCGCAGCCACACTTGATGACGGAGGTGGAAGACAGGTCAAACAACATGGCGGGGCCACTTGCACACCTGTGAGGTCGGTATTCATCCTGAAACCAGCAGGAGAGAGTTTATCCGAAAGCAGATCTTCTCCTCTCCGGCCCTCCTCCCCTCCCACACCTCCTCCTCTTTCTTTTGCTCCCTCCACCCCACGCCTCTCTCTTCTCTGCTGGGGTTGGAGCTGGGCCATCTTCGCGTTGAGCACAGGATCTACCACTGAGCCGTATCTCTCCAGCATGGCAAGCAACGATTTCTAAACTACTGAACAGCCACAATAGTGAAAAGGTTTTACTTTAGCATCGTCGAAATCCCAAAGGTATCAAATCAAATATGCCAGGAATGAAGAGTATTCTGCAGTAAAATTGAAAAGGAAAAGCCTCGAGGCTAAGACCCAAGCATGAGACTCTTCAAGCGTCAATGATTCATCTCAAATGGCCCCATGGCAGGGAGTCTCAGGCCATACCATCCTGTCTGTTTACACGGATCGTGGTTCCAGGCTTCAGTAATGATCTGAAAAGCTCTTTCTTTCCACCAATCATTTGTCACTGGGAACAGTTTATTTAAGAAAACAAAAACGAGACGTTCAGGAAGTTAGTGGTTTGGACAACAGAGCAAGGATAAGAATAATGTTATCATGTGGGCTGTGAATCTTGCTTTGGCGTGCCTATTAGCATAAGCTTGTAGGTGGGTAGTTTTTTCCTCTCTTTCAGATTTGTTAGGTTTTGTTTTAATAAAAGGGAGGAAGTTAACTTGAAATTGCCCAAAGGAAAGAGAAGGGGATGTGTTTCAAGTCTCTGTTAAGGCCCAAGTTGGACTTGTCGAAACAGAATCTTCACATGGATGAAAAAAAAAAAAATCAAAGACAAAAGTTCGGGGGAACAGCAAAACCACAGACACAGAGTGCTGTTTAAAGTACCATGATTCTGCCAAATGTAAGCTGTAAGAAAACTGTTCTCATCTGTGTTGGGAAAAGGATGTTTTAGACTAAACAGCCGCTGAAGAGACTGCTCAGCAAGGTGACTACTGGATTCTTGACCCCAGCCCCACCCGTGAGGACACTCAAGCTTTTCTCATGAATAAAGCTACAACTGGGTTCCTTGCACACAGCAGGACTTTGTTGATAAGCTTAGTCGTGCTTTCCTATCTTACGCAGCCGAGGTGCGGCATGAATGAGGGTTAGCGTGGAGATCTGAAAAGCCGGAGAGAAGGGCTGTGACACTCAACAGCAGCAACAAGCCAACAAGAGAAAACCACATTCCGAGGCCTGCCCTATCTGCTCACACACTTCAGGGTCCGGGTTCCAGGGCCCACCTATGTGCTAGCATACTTCAGGGTTCGGGCACAAGAGTACAGTTCACACCAGACCCTGTGGCTGGCGAACGAACAAGCTGTCTTCCTGCGCTCCGCCCAAGGACACGGATATGTGGGATCACACTGTTCACTGTCACACCTTCTAGGACAGCCACTGGGGAGAAGACACTGAGTGGCGACCGTGTAGTCCAGCGTGTAGCGTTCGCAGGAAGAGGAACACGACTGTGCCCCACAGGAAGGCTTTGCTCAGGTCTGAAAGGACCAGGTCTCTACAGCAACTGTCACTCGGAGGCACTGTGCTAGGTAGACGAAACTGGAAGAGATACTTTCTAACCTCAAGAAAGTTACACAATCCAGTCTGTTAAGACATCAAAGAAACTGCCAGAACCTTCCTGCAGCTGCCTCTCCAAACCTCTGTTCGCCTGTGCGGTTCCCCTCTGTCGGCAGAGCCAGGAGAGGCGACCACCACACACAGTCAAGCACAAATAAACTTGAAATCAGACAGGAAGTGTTAGATTCTAGCGAAGCAAGCTGAGAACGTTCTCTTCCCTCAAGAAGCCTGGTCAAAGTCTCGCTCTGAAGAAGACTTTTCAAGAGCTGTGGAACACACCGGTGTCATTCTGTGTTGGGAGCCAATGGGTAGCTTTTTGGTTTTTCTAATTTCTATCACCCACCTGCTCCAAGAAGGCACCAATTAGAAACCTAGAACACCGGGTGAAACCGCGATCCTCATTGGCTGGCTTTTGAAAGCTCACTAAGCTTACACGACGTCTGCATTCCTGTCACGCCTCTTTAATTAGCTAGCATGTGGTGGTACGTTTCTAATTCTCAGGTCTGATCATTCCTGGAACCGACTAGAGTTAATCGAGATTGTGAGGTCCTAATCTTCACATCAGCGTTTGGTGTCATGTACGTCTTTGCACATTTAATTTCCAAAATTAAGCAAGAAGCTGAGCCTATACTCCTAGCATTCAGGACATGAGGCCGGAGGCTGATGGGTCATGGCCAGCCTGGGTTACATAACCAGACTGTCTCTCAAAAACATGAAGCATAATAGAGAAAAAGTGAGGAGGGCATTGAAAGATCAGGACACGTTTTTCTAACATAGATAGACAGAAGAGTATAATTCAGATTGGGTCCGAGGACAATGGTTTTTGTTTGTTTGTTTCCTAACTAATAAAATTTCTGAATGGGAACTATTTTAAAATAAATGTATGACACAAAGTTTAATAAGAAAGTACGTGTAGCACCCATAATGAAATTATGATTATAAATTGCACATTTTAAAGCATGTGTTCTACAGAACCTTAATCCTGATTTGAAATGTGGAAGCTCCTGTCAACATATTACTTGCCTTCTCTGTCCCCTGGATTCCAGAAAGAGAATCCCCAGAGAGAGTCCTGCTCCATAAGGGTATTGAAGAAGTAAGATAACTTGATAGGATCCAGGCAATGCTATGCTTGCATATGAAGGGATCAAATGTGCCAATATAATTTCCATTACATATCACAGATCCAGTTATTCTGATGTATACATTAACTGCATTTAAGAGAGAATTAGAAAAGCAACTTTCCGAAGACTGCTAAATGCACTAGGAAAAAGCAATGCCCATTTGACCAATTATTTCTATACTTAACCTTTAAAAAATTTATAATACTTTTCTCAAGTCTGAAATATAATTGCCAGCATGATTGACAGCAAAACACACACCCTTACACACACACACACACACACACACACACAACTTCCTATAGAAGTATGTGAGGATAGTTTCGTGAAGACAAAAAAAAAAAAAAAAACCAAGATTTGATATATGGTTGGCTGTTTCTCATCTGGTACTCTGGTATCCCTGGGGTTTTTCCCAATCCAAAGCAATAAGCCTAGGGCTGCTACAAAAAGCAGCAGCCCATAGCTCACAAGCAATAACCAGACAACAAAGGCACTCACCTGCAGATTTGAGCAGCCACACTGGGGGGGTGGGGATGGGGTGGGTGGGGTACATGGCTCCTACAGCACAGTTGAGAAACCTCACTGTGTGTAGTCTCTTCATAAGGGTTAGCTAGGAGGAGCAGATGTACCAGGCCCAGAGACTAGCATTTAGCAAATACTGTTCTGATTGAACAATAAAAGCCTTCCAATGCTTCATCTTCATAACTTAACATTCCTCCCATCTTACTTCACTCCAACTTCTCCTGAATTTCCCTTCAGTTTTTATGACGTAAAGACGGATGAGTTTCTCCATCCTAAATCCCTGCTTTGACCTATTTAAAGATAACACACGACGCTAATGAAGTCTCTGAGCGCATCTTTCACCAAGGTGACCCACGAACTTGCTGCCAAGAGAGTACCACTTACCAACAAATTTCATTTTTCGAAAGCGGTGCGGGAAATCTGTGTCCTAACCTAAGACATTTACTTGTGTACTTTTTCCGAGAGCTAGAAACACACAGAATGAAAACAGCACTTACTTTTGCTCCATGAAGAGAGGATCAAAGAATTCTGTTGTGATTTTGTTCGCATACAGGGAACAGCCTGTCATGGAACACAGACCTGAAAAATACCAAAGGGAGGCAAGTGTGGCAGTCAGCGCCGTGTCATCGACACCCTGCGGTGCCTCGTTTGGGGGATGTTGCTATTTACCTGACAATATGAAAACAATCCCAGCCAAGCAAGCAGTTTTAGCTTTGGCTTTGTCTGAGCCTCCGACTTTGGTACACTTCATCCCGAAGAGTGCAAAAATGGAACCGAAGAAGCCCAGGCTGACCGCAGCGATCATGAGTCCTCTACACGCCTGGATATAGCCTGCAACCAGAGCATGCCATTCACGTTAACGTCGGATGCGCAGCTCTCCAGAGAGGGAAACCTCACTGTGCACGGACACTCGGGATGGTGTGCTATACTGTCTTGGGGAGGGGGGAGGGGACAACGCAGCGGTTAACTCAGGCAGCGAGGCGGGTGCGAAGGGAACGCACGCACATCTACCTCAGGCGCCCGTTTGACGTCACGCACTTTAAGGCTGGCCTTCTGTGTAGCCTCCGGCTGGGTCTTTAAGTTACCCCTGTTTTTGCAAAGGAGGGTGAGGCACGCAGAGGCCCTGTGATTTGCTGCAGGTAAGTTAGCGCACGGAAGGAGGGAATCCCACCCTGGAGAGGGTTCTAAGTTCATGACTCACTGCTTCCCATTCTGAACTCCTTAGTGTCCTCACCTTCGCATGGGGCACTGGGGTGAGTCTCTATAAAATCAGAGCCCTTACAACTGGGCAGCAAGATGTCCCAAAGGGCCAAGGCTGTCAATGGAAGCTTATATGAGAGACTAGCCAGCATGTGTTAGGGACCCCTGGTGCGGCTGAATTACCTTAGTGACACTGCGCAGTCATTGGGGCGCATATAATAAGATTGGGCTTAAGGCAATATTGCCTAACAGAAGAGTAGTTTACACTCAAGCCAACTGTTTGCATGTAAATGAGTGCCTCGTGTTGGCTGGCTTGTTCCTACAGAACCATTCACGTTCACAGCCAGGTATCTTGTTTTGCACAGCTGGGGTGATGACGAACCAGCAGGGCTTTAGGCCAGGCACCGACCCGCTCTAAATCAGCAGAGTTCAACGTCAGGCACCATTCCCGCACAAGCCACTCCATCTCATTTGAAACAGCACTGCGCGAGGGGGGGCACATCCCAGTTGTAGGCACTCGTGATAAGCAGATGAACGCACACGAGCTTTACTTTGGGAATTAAGCCCTCCCATAAAAACAAAACAACAAAGAACTCCTTAAGAGCAAGCATAAGCAATAGCCGCCTATCATCATTTTGCTCTCAAGCAAAACCAATGACAATCAATAGTAGTAACCTAATCGTTATCAATTTGTGGAGGAAATGTTGGTGGCCTCCAGTCCCATACTTCTCCGGAAAAGAATGGAATTTAAAGTTTGAATACTGTTACTAAGACCCGGTGTTGCAAAGCTGGTCTTCCTACTTAATGTGACTGACACACCCTGAGCCCCCCCAGAAACACAGCTCTCCCAGGCAAGGCCCTTCGATTTTATGGTGTGAAGTCAATTTCGCCGATGTGGAGGTTACCAAAGACAGCAAAATAAACTTATTTTTATTGATTTGGGACAATGGAGGATTCTTTTGTTAACAATAACGGTGCTGCAAAGCTGTCTGGGTTTCTGATACTAGTACTGGATCAACTCTGTTTTCAACTTTAGCCACAGCAGGAGAGCAGAAGCAAGACCTCTCACCGCCCTGCAAACCCCGAGTGTCTGCAAGGATAATCAGAAGTGCTTTCCTGTTCTCCACAAAAGCTACAGGCAGCAAAGAAGGTTGCATTTAGCTTGCTCTGAATGCAAACCCTAAACAACCAAAGTGGAAGGATAAACACACACGCACACACACATACACACACGTGCACACACAGGCACACACACGTACACATGCACTCACACACACACACACAGGTACACACAAATGCAATAGTGTCCTTTATCAGTGTGGGATATGTCTTGTTTCAAAACTCCCATGAAATCACAAATAATACTGAACTCTATACACCAGTTTTACTATAAATACATGAAAGAAAATGACAGATTAGGTACAGAAAAAATAATGAAAGCAACTATAAAGCTGGGCTTGGGGAACACAGGCCTGAAATCCCAGAACTCTGATAGGTGGGAAGGTGATGAATTCAAAGCTGGCCTGGGCTCCAGAGTGAAACACTGTTTCAGAAAAGAAGAAAAAAGGTAATTAGGTAAGACAGCATAGTTAACAGCTTGTTTGAATATAATGTATTCAAAACTTCTAGATTATTTAATTTTGGGATTTTCCATTTAGTATTTTTGGGCTATAGTTGACCATAGGTCATTGAAGCCCAGGAACGAAAACCACAGGAAAGGGAGACTTCTATGCGTAATATATATTTAGAAAAAGACAGAAAGAATCTTTTTTTTTTTTTTTTTTTGGTTTTTCGAGACAGGGTTTCTCTTGTGGCTTTGGAGGCTGTCCTGGAACTCGCTCCATAGACCAGGCTGGCCTCGAACTCACAGAGATCCTCCTGCCTCTGCCTCCCGAATGCTGGGATTAAAGGTGTGCGCCACCAACACCTGGCAAGAATCATTTCTTTAGTATGAACCATAGTCTGCAGTTGCATCCTCTATCTTACAGGCTTTATCATCAGCAGACAGATGGCCTGGGATTTACCGAGGGCTAAGTTCTACAGTCTGGTCATTCGGAACAAGGAATGAGTTTCCGGCATGGCAAACGGCAGCTAGAATACCAGTCCAACCCAGTCAGCTTGCAAGGCAGGGAAAACAACAGTAGTCTTTACACTTCAGAAGCAACTTTCTCCCAGACCCTCCCATCCTGAAGTCCCCTCTCTCTGACCTTCCCTGGCCTCTAGGCACAGGGGCCAGAGAGAAGGGGGACAGGAGATTGTCACGCTGGCCAGCTCTGGTGCACCTCACCCTGGCTCCAGAACACTAATAATAATTTGCTGACTCTCAGCAAGCACTGAAGACAATAGCTGGCCTGGTTTTTCTGTAATGGGAAGCCAAGACAAGGGGGAAAAAAAACCTCCCCTGCTGGCCATGAGAGGCATCGGTGGCTGTGGTGCTTGTTAATTAGCCTGAGGTCTGTAAACCGGGGCCTGCCGGTTCCAGAATCTTAGGCCTCTAGTGAGTTCCAGCAGCAGACTCTCAGAATTTATCTTTCTGCCAGGCAGGACCTCTACAGCCAGCTTTTTAACAGCTCCCAGAGGGCAAACTTAGAAGTTACACCCTCAAGGGAAGTGCTAGTAGAAACCTAGTCAAGGAGGCCATTATTTTTGACAGGTCTGATTTACTGACACCGTTAATAGCTAATTAACACATTAAAGTGCTGAGGCATGAAAGGATTTACTTAGAAGTTCTCAAGGTATAATTTATAGTTCTGAAAGAAATGGCAACCCCCCCACTAGCAAAAAAAAAGAAAAAGAAAAGAAAAAAAAAAAACCAGGATGGCTCTGGGAGGGGGGTAAACTCAGCTGAGGAAGGCCAAGTGTTCTCTGAAAGGAATATGGGCTAGCCGTGAACAGAAACCACCAGTTTCTTCAACCATGGCATTCTCAAACAGTAGCTGGGACCTAATGACTTCTGTCGCAGGAGAACCTTCAAGGGAACCCTTGAAAGTTAGATGCCTGCTCAGTGATGCGGCCTTTATTACCCAGGGGTCTCTCTGAGTCTCCATTTCTCATCTGGGAAACAGGAACAGGCCCAGGGTGCATGGTAAGAGCCCAGAGAAGAATTCCTTCTCCAACACCGAGATGGCTTCTGGGCAGATGTGAGTGGCGGCTGACACAGGACACAGAGCCCAGTCTGGAGTCAGCTTTGCCGCACGCACCCTGTGTTTCCCAGAGGGAAATCTGGGAGCAGCAGTGGTTCCCCCGGAGGATGACAAACCGGAGCTCTGACTTCAGATAGAATATTCTGTTTACCACGACACAAGACAGCAAGAGCCACCAGCCTTCTTCTCTCTTGGCATTTCTAATCTGGAGCCCGTGCCTGGCTTACGCAGGGGAAATGGTTGTTCTGGTCTGTAGACACTAGGACAGTGAGGGAGCTTTCTCCTTCCCCTTCAAATACCAGGCCCAGCTCCCAGCATCCCCTGCCCTGAGAATGCAAGGTAGAGATGAGGCAGGGTTGGAGTTTTGGGGGAGCGTGCTGCTCTGGAAGGTTCCACTTGAGGTCGGGGAGCAGAAAGCAACATCTTTTGGGTGAAAAAGCAGCTGTGCCCGGACCCTCCTGGGAGATACAGAAGACAGGTTTGTCTTCTGTCATTGGACACATCCTATTGCCCCGTAGAGGGGGGAAGTCACCAAGGGAAAGACTGACAGTTGAAATTATGCCATCACTTTCAAAGTTCCTTATGACACAGGAAACTTAGACAAACAGTGGGCTCAGGTTGCACCGAGGAGTCAAGGGTTTGCATACAAAAAATAAAACAAAAAAGTAGAAGAAGCAATACAACTATTGTCATAAGACACACATAGAAGGAAAAGAAAAACGAAACAGCCGATAAATAAGACTCATGGGGGAGAAAGGGGGCTAGGGGGATTCTGAGTGAGATGGCAGTGGGACCACAGCTATAACGTGTCACTCTGGGCAGGGACATCAGTGAGAAAATGGCAAAGCAGCTGTCCTTACACTCATGGTGGAACGCAGTTTGGCAGAGTGAACCGAATATTAAAATCCACGTTCCGGTCTGGCGGATAGAACAGTGCACAGAAATAATACATGCACGGGAGGAGTCGAGTATTAACGAGCTTCAGTAAGGCACCGATGGGAGGGAAAGTTGGAAAGGGTCCCGTGTCCACCAGGGTAAATGGCTTGAGGGAACCCGTCTTTCCAAACTAATATGCAGCAGCTAGAAAGTTGTTTGTTTTTTTTTTCTATCTGTAACAACTTCAGAGACGCTGTTAACTTAAAAACATTGTGGAACTCGCCGTTTCTGTTTTTTTTTTAAATATCATTTTCCGGTCACATGAGCATGCATATATGCATCCATGGGTGGCAGGTAACTAACCCCACTCAAGGCCTGCCTACCTCGAGGTCTTGATAATGAGCACCGTGTCTCAAGTCCTCCTCAGTACCCAGCCCTACACACAGGTCATCCCTTCACAGCAGACACACAGCAGGGACAGCCCACTGCTCTGTCCTCAAAGCTTGAAGGAGTATTTCTTTCTCTCTCCTCTTCCTCGGGCCCCCAACAGTCCTGAAGAAGGACACATACTTATCTAGCAGGCCATGGCAGGCAACAATAGAGTTACAAACAGAGCAGTCCTAGAACATACTGTGAATTCTGTGCAGTTCCTGAATGCAAACCACAGAAACAAGAGCTGGTCTGCTGTCTCCTGACTGTGTGCTCTCCTGAGCACAGGGACTCAGGCGACTTGTTCTTTACAACAGGGCCCAGCCCCAAGTGCCACCCTTCCACAGCAGGCCCCTAGTCCCTTATACCAGTTTCCATCAAACACTGAATTGAGCAACAGTTTGCTTTTTGTGGCAAGCACTGTCTTAGGGGGATCAAGTCTTCTATTTACCCAGCTATGCAAATAAAAGCGGCAAGAGAAATAATAAAGAAAAGGAAGCCACCTCACATTTAGAGGTGATGCAAACGGGCTCTTCTTAAATTTCTGCCAGAACCCTTTTAGTCGCCTGTAAAATTCTGGAAGCGCCTAGAACTTGAGCAAGCACTGTGCTGGTGCTGAATCAACTCTGTCAATCTCTGTCTGCAAAAACAACCAAGCGAGAAAGACCTAGCATGCACTCGCAAAACTTGGAAGTGTGCTCACTCGTTCTGCGGACTCCTGCTGGCCACCATTCCCTGCCCTCTACAGACACTTCACCCCCGCGTGGGCAGGGGCTTTTCATTTTCCTGAAACTTAGAGGAAGCACTAAGCACAAGCTATAAAGTTTGTAGGAGGGATTTTAAGGAAAACAGCAAAAAGCTTCAATATGGTTATTTCTCCTCTCCTCTGTGCCTGGCTTTTCAAAGACTCAATGAACCGGCTAAAGGGATCTCAGGGCGAGCCTTAATGGATCTCCGTGGTGTCATTTCAATGAGAATCAGCTTTTGATGGGGGGCGGGGAGGTTTGCAAGCCCCGGAGTCCCAACAGTCCCAGAGGAAGGAATAGCCTTGTCGCCCTCAACCACCTGAATTGACCCTATGCTTCCCCCACCAATGGTTCCCAGGTTCAGCAGGCGCCCCACCGGGCAGCGAGCTTCGCAGACCCCCCCCCCGGGTGGGGCAGAGTGGGACCCGGCCTCCCTCCCGGGGGGGGTGGATGTCCCAGAGCAGGTTCCTAAGAGGACGCGCCCGCCAGGAAAGCCAGCCAGGAGCAGGAATGGGGACGGAGGGGGGACCCCGAAGGGATGCAGACCATCCAGCGCCAGCATGGAGGGGAAGTCCTTGCAGTTGGCGACGCCGGTGGAATCGGTAACGCACATCTTCCATAGGTTGGCAAAATAGGTGGCGGTGGTGATGACAGTGCCGTCGATGGTGGACACCTTCCAGTAGTCGGTGGGCAGAGTGGAGGACACCAGCACCCAGCCCGAGATGGAGACCGTGAAGGCGATGATCTCCAAGGCCGTGCTCGCCATGCCGCCCCGCCGCTGCCTGCAGCCGCTCTCGCGCTTGCTCCCACTCGGCTCGGCGACCCCCCGCGCACCAGCCCCGAGGCTCCGCCCCCAGGTCACCGCCTCCGGCCCGCCCACTGGGCACTAGAGGGCACAAGCCGACCCGCACTCACGCCACTACCCGCCCGGGCACCCTGGGGGCGCGCGGGACGATTTGGGGCTCGACCTCCTGGTTCCTCCCAGCAGCCTGCCGGCCGGCTGCCCGCAGCTCCAAAGCCCTCAAAGCCAGCGCGCTCCTGGGCCCGAGGTCCCCAAATCTCTCACAGACGAGCCCCGGAACACCGCTCCTTTATTGGAGCTGTCCAAGGGGGACAAGCAGATGTGGACAGCCTGCGGCGCCTCCCACCGAGCCACCCCCGACCCAGCCCTACCCGTGGCAAATAGCGTGGCTCACCGGGTGCCTTGTAAAAGCAGAGCAGAAACAACTCTGGTGTGCCCTGAAAGGACACGGTACGGTAACAGCCTCGCTTTGCTGAACGCTAAAGGCCAGTGTGCCACGTTTGTCTGAGACACCCTGTTTGGCTAGTTAAGGGGCAGAAACTGGCTTTGCCCTCAAAACTCTGCGGTTCCTTTTGGCCTGGCGGTATGCGGAAAGTACTGTAGAAGAGTCGCTACGGCCTAATTCCAAGGCAGCAGGTGATGCGGGCTCCAGAGAGCCCAGTGAGGGTCTTGGAGAGGTGGGCGGTCATTCCCCCAGAGCTAGCTACTGGCTCTCAGTTTGGGAGGGGGGGAATCTGGGAAGAAGTGAGGTTTCTGAAACAAGGGGAAGACATCTATGTGCCTCTCTCTCTCTCTCTCTCTCTCTCTCTCTCTCTCTCTCTCTCTCTCTCTCTCTCTCTCTCTCTCTCGCTCGCTCGCTCGCTCGCTCGCTCTCTCCCTCTGTGTGTGTATGTGTGTGTATGTGTGTGTGTATGCGCACATGCCTATGAGTGTGGAAGCCGGAGAGCAACCCCTGGTGTTATCTATCTACTTTGCGTTTTGAGACAGGGTCTCTCTCACTGGGGCCTAAGGCTTTCAGACCGGGCTAGGCAGCTGACCAGTGAGCCTGAGGGATGCACTTTCTCAGTCTCTCTCTGCAGCCCTAAACCACCATCAGCTTTCCATGCGGGTGCTGGAGGTTGGAACTCAGGTCCTCAGACTTCAATGGGATTTTCTCTACCGATTGTTATTGTCCTCATCAATGTTTGCTTTTGTCTTGTGTGTGTGTGTGTGTGTGCACGCACATGTGTGTACACCTGTATATGCATATGCCTGTGCACGTGTGCATGTGTGTGCTTGTGTGTGAGTGCGTGTGCATGTGTGTGTAGGCCAGAGGTGGACATCAGATGCCATGCTCCATGGCTGTTGACCTTTTTTTTTTTTTTTTTTTTTTGAGACAGAGTCCATCACTAAACTAGGAGCTCGCCATTTTGGCAAACTGGTCGGCAAGTGAGCTCTGAGAAGCTGCTTTTCTCTACTGCCCCACCTCCAGTGCTGGGCTTTAAGATGCTCATCAGCCACGCTCAGCTTTTCCAGGGGTGCTAAGGATGCAACCTCAGGCCCTCCTGCTCCGACCGGAGCCCTCTCCCCAACCCCCACCAGCTCCTCCACCTTTCCCGCCTAATTGAAGAATAAACTCATTCATTCGCCTTCTCTCTGATAAACACAAAGACCAAGGTGTCCTTCCAGCTCCCGAGGAGGTCGCAAATCTGGGCATAAACGAGAGAACAAAGACACTGGCTTCATTATGGGCTTATTACTGTTCACTAAGAGTTCTTGCAGTTCTTGGTGTGACCTTTCAGGATCCGCTTCCTGCCAAAAGTAACCAAAGGTCCAAAACATAAAATCCCCACAGCCACAAACGAGCATGCAGTACCTGGCCGTTTCACAGTCTCTAAGCAGAGCTACTTCTGGCCCATCGTGGACAATGTAACTGCCTCGTTGCCTTTTATTTATTTATTTTCTTTTTAACCAAATGAAACAAGTTTAGTTAACTCCTGTTCTGGTCTCGATCCTGAGTTAACCCAGTGAGTCAGTCCCGGTTCACTGGTGGGTCAAACTTAAGACCAAAGTTTGGGGAGTCCTTTCCTTGTCAGATCAGCCCCCCAGTAGTGACAGAAAAGTGTACTCTCTCCTCCTCTATAATCTGCCACAAAGTGCTCTCATCTCTGGGGTCCTGCCCTCTGTCACAATTTCACCTCAAATTTCGGGACCCCGCTCCTGGTCTAATTTTGTATTTTGAGCCTGTACATTCTTTGTGAAGTTGGTTAAAATTGGTACTGTCCAAATTGTTATTTTGTCCTTGTTCACAGGCCCTTGGCTCTGCCTCGCTAATTTGTTAACTATTTCTTGCTTTTACTTGGTAGAACACTGACTTTTGATACATAAGTACGTATCGAGTTGTGGTCATTAGACCTCCAGTAGGCTTATGCTTACCAAGTGATTGGCTGTAAATTCTACTGTCCCGTTCCAAAGGCACACTGTTTTAAAGATATAATTGTGGGAGGAAAAAAATGGTTTCTTGCTTTCTATCTGAAAGTTTAAAGTATAATGTACTTCTGCCTATTGTACTTGGGAAAAACAAGCTACCAGCCATGAGCTATGTAAACACAGCTCCAACAAGAAAGAAATTCTGAATTCCAGCTAGTCCCTGGCTCTGCCTTCCCATATCAAATGAAGCCAAAGTCTCCAGGGTGGCCAGCCAGGACACAGTACTTTCAAAACTCCCTGTGCGAACCGCAGCTCCAGAGGGAGGAGATTGGTGAATATGTATATAAACACTTTAACATAACAGATGGTGTGTACTAGGGAGAGAAAGATTAGTCCTTGTGTTGAAAGCTCAAAAATAGCAATATTCTGTTATTGTAGAGATTGCGGCACACAGTATTAACTTAAAACAAGTGGGAAGTGAAACAGACATTAATTATGGCCTCGATGGCAGCCCTGTTGGTTCCTTAGCCAGAGTCCGCATGCCTATGAACTCACTGACCTTTTCTCTTTTACTCTTTGTCCTTTCTTTGAGATTGGAAAATGTTACGCTCCCTATAGACCACATTACATGTGTATTTGAGCCCACAGGAACGGAAAAATACTTTCTTTACTGTCTAAAGGCCAATGTGTAAATGAATCAAGTGTTTGGTTTAGATGTCTTATGCCTTAAGCTTTCAAAACAATGTAGTCAGAAGAATGCTGAAAGTATTACAGAGTACTGTGTCGTCTAACATGGAAAATGTACAGAAAATGAAAATGGACCACATGGGAGATATTTAAAAAGACAAACGTCTTATTTCGACCTAAGACTGTGTAGTCCCAAATAACCTTTGCAGTTAGCCTGCAAAGCGCTTGGGGAATGGTTTCAGCTGAGAAGCAATCCCTTGTTTTCCCTAGGATTTGGCTCGCTGACACTTTCATTTAACTACCCATGACACACCCCTCATAAGTGTGAAAATGAAGTCAGCAAGGAGATAGCCTCTTCTGACTTACTCAGTGTAACGTCTTAATCGCAACTTGTCTATTGCAAAGTGCCCGTTCCTACCACGACAAACACTGGTCAAATGTACAAATTACAAATTCTGCTGGAAGATACCTTGTGTCCCACAACACGTTACTTGTGTGGTATGATTGTGGTCATGGTGGGGGGACAGAGGCTCCCCCACACACTCTCATCCCCACCCCAACCCCCAGTTGTTCCATAGGAGTGAAAAACCAGTTTGGCCAACTGAACGGGAGATTTGCAGGAATACTTCACTTGAGATCCGATTCACCTGCCAAAGAACACAGGCGTGCCTTTCAGCCCAGCTCAGGGACTGTCTAAGCATCACGTACGGTTTCTGTATACATTAGCTCCTTCCTAGAGCCCAGTGAGGCAGCAACGCTGTCAGTCGGCTGGGAAGAAGGGAAGCCCTAAACAAAACGGTGGCGTCTAAACAATGGCTCAGCAACCAGGTATCGCTACAAAGGCACCGGTGCCAAAACTAGTTATTAAAATCGAGATTCTGTGCTCTTCTCCCTGTTGTTAGTCGCTCTCCGTGTCCCGTGCAAGTTCTGTGACATCTGGAGTCTACTTAGTATAAAGAACCACAGGGTGACGAGAGTACCCAGGGGAACGAGCACTTTTATAGATGCTTCGCTATGCACACGAATGTATGTGTGTGTACCTCCATCTACACTCATTTTTTTTTTTACTTTGCTGTAAGTTGTAAGCACAACGGTTGCCTTATTTCACTCTCAACCTCCAAGGGTGAACCCACGCATCAGAATGCTTCCGTGGCCTGCTGAAGGCTGGAGCCTTTACCCTCATACCCCTCTCCAGGCACTCACTTGAAACCCTCCTTCCCAATCACGAGACGCCTTGGGGACATTTGGATTGGAGCGGTTCAGAGCAGAGCACCCTTCCTGCTGGAAATGCCTCTCCCTCTGGGATACTGGAAACCCCAGAGCTTGTAAGGTGGACGGGGGTGTGTTTTGTTGGTCTGTGAGCATCTGCTGGGCTTCAACACAGCCCTCTCACCCAGGATGGGTGCACATTTATGTGAGTGTTTATTCTGAGCAAGCCATTTTATTTTTCTGACTCACAACTGGAAGCTGTGCTTATAGATGGAGATATACAGAGGCGGGGGGGGGGGAATCTTTTAAAAAAAGCTATATATCTAGTTTTATGTTCTCTTCTCTTAAAATTGGATACATGATAAAGTGTGGTGATTCAGCCTCCCTTTAAGGCAGGTGATGTGGAAGATGGAGGACAGATTATGGACATCAGCAGAAAATTCCACCTCTCAATTCATCCTGCCCAGAGTCAGTTCTCTAACTACACAGTGGGGATGAGAATGGTCCATTGACAAGGCTTGTGAAGATTAAACACAATGGACACAGACATCTTGGGGGTGTTGTAGACACAAAAAGCAGATTGTGGTTGATGGGGGGAACGTCCCGTACACGTGCTTATCTTATTGGCTGTTGAATAAAGCACTGTCGGCCAATAGGGAAGCAAGACAGGTGGGACTAGGAGTCGAGGAGGATTCTGGGAAAGAGAGGCCCAGAGTCGCAGTGTAGGACACAGGAGAGGCAGCATGTGGACCCTTCCTCCGGTAAGCGAAGGCCACATGGAAATACTCAGATTAGCAATTATGGGTTTCATACTTAAGTCAGAGCTAGCCAGTAAGAAACCAAGCAAACGGCCAACAGCTTCATAATTAATATAGCATCCTGTGTGTTATTTGGGGGTTCAGACAGCTCAGCAGGGTCCAGGCGGCTGGCGGGAAATTGTATGTTACATGTGGTTGTGGCCATAGGCCCCTGAAGGTGCCTGACCTCTTCTGGATGCTGTTTGGTTTACTCATAGGTTTTCTTTTAATCTCCAAAAGAATATGAGCACATGTTCTGTTAAAATACCGCTTCTTAGATCTGGAGGTGAGGGTCAGTGGGTGTTTGCTGAGCTTGCAAGGATCCCTTGAGTCAACCCCCAGCATCACAAAATACCTGGCACGATGGTCAACTCACCCAGCTGGTCAAAAAAAAAAAACTGGAAAAAGAATTACTGATTAAAAATAAACTGACAGTAAGTGAATGTGGATGAAATCTTTTGGAAAATTTAAAATGGCAACAAGTGTTGGACTGCCAACACAGACAAGGTTAGTGCCAAGGGCTAGAGAAGGAAGAAACCCGAAGCAAGTGGGTGGGGCCAAGTGGGTGGGGCCAACGGAGAGGCCCAGCAAAGTCAGGAGAAGTGAGGTGCAAACTAGTTCAAAGGAGAGTGGGAAATCCTGCGGGTATGAGGCGACCGGAAGAGAGGGGAATCTTCCCGCAGCCCTGGGTTTTCTGTATCATAATTAATTCTTTTGAGATGTGTGTGTGCGCGTGCGCACGCGCACGCGTGTGTGTGTGTGTGTGTGTGTGTAAGAAAGAGAGACAGACAGAGACAAACACACACACACACACACACGTGTTGCTCACAGGTGAGAGTAGCTGGATTCATAGCTCAGTTCCATAGTCTACACGCTTTATTGAAAACTTGCCTCCTACCAAGACAACGCTCCGTGACTCGCATGGAGTGATCCATTCTATACCTACTAAGTGTAAGAGCGAACACACGGAACCCACATCAAGTCAATTCCAGCTAGCTGGGCTTAGACTTACTTTTCATGAGAATCACTTTCCTAAGTAGGAGTATTTGAACAGGTGCCCAGTGTCCCTACTTAATTTCAGCACACTGAGTAGATTATTTTGCAACAGGTGAACTGAAGTTCACTAGAGGACTTCGTCGTGAGATATGCTTCTCTTCTATGTCATAGTTCAGAGTACACACACACACACACACACACACACACACACACCAGAAGTTCTTTCAGCTACTCGGACATCTATGTCTTCCCGCTTTGAGTTCTGGCCACACTCTTGGCTAACACAGCTGACATGAAGGGCGAGGCTCAGCCAGGCAGAATTCAGCAGCCAAAGGTGAGGGAGCCAGACCTTCAGAATGGAGGCCAGGCAAAGAGCCACGTGGCACAATGTCGATCAATAGAAACAGGCGTATTTAAGTGACAAGAGCTAGATGGGAACAAGCCTAAGCTAAGGCCAAGCTTTCGTAACTAATAATAAGTCTCCATGGCATTACTTAGGGGCTCATGGTACAAACAAAGCCTGGCTACAGGGGATTTCCCCCCCCCCAGAGTTTCTCCGTGTAGCCCAGGCTGTCCGGGAACTCACTCTGCAGACCAGGCTGTCCTGGAACTCAGAGACCCGCCTGCCTCTGTCTCCCTCATGACAGGACTAAAGGTGTTTACCAACATACCCCGACTTAAATTTTCACTTGTATTAGCTGACCAAGACATAGAAACGGTTATGCTTAGATGTTAAATGCCAGCTTCCGGTCCCACTTGTTTTTGCTTGTGTCTGGCCACTCGGACCCTTGCAGCTGTCCTAAATGTTCTAGAGGTGTGTGTGCAGGAACCGGCTGATTGAGAAGACAGGCAATTGGAGACTGCCGAGCCACGGGGGAACTGGAGGCAGGGGACTGGCTGGGCAAGAGAGGGCCACGGCATGAAGTTCGTAGACTGGTGGTGACGTCTTGAGGCTGAAGAGGTTGGGATTTTCCTCTCTGCTAGGACGATTAAGAACTTGACTCTATAACCATCCTGGGGCCTTCATCCAGTGACTGATGGAAGCAGAGGCAAACACACAATTAATCGCTGAACTGAACCCGGGGAACCCAGTGACAGAGAGAGAGGAGTGATGAGCAAATTGGCAAAGAATGGGCTGGCAAAACCAGCAGAGACAGCTGATTTGAACAGGGGAGAGCTCTTGGACCCCAGACCGACAGTTGGGAGGCCAGCATGGGACTGATCCAGACCCCCTGAATGTGAGAGTCAGTGAGGAGGCCTGGGCTACCTATGGGGCCCTGGGCAGTGGATCAGTGTTTATCCCTCAAATACTAACAGACATCGTGTGTCCATAACACAAAGAGGGTTGCTCTCTCTGCCTGGACTCTTAGGGAAGTGCCTGGACCCTGCCCTGAGTGAAATGATAGACTCTAGACATCCCTTATGCGGAAGGAATTGGCAATAGGATGGGGGGGATGGCGGGGGGGGGGTGCTGGAGGAGGGGAGGGAGAGGGAACTGGGATAGACATGTAAAACAAGCTATTTAAAATAAAAAATATGAAAAAAAAGAACCGCCAAAGTGGCTGGGCAGTGGTGACACACGCCTTTGATCCCAGCACTCGGGAGGCAAAAGCAGGCGGATCTCTGTGAGTTCGAGACCAGCCTTGGTCTACAGAGCAAGTTCCAGGACAGGCTCCAAAGCCACAGAGAAACCCTGTCTCGAAAAACCAAAAAGAAAAAAAAAAGAAACACTGAAGTTTGTTTCACTCTTGCCCCCCAACTTTTGAAATAGCGTTGGTCATCCATTGAACCAGTCCAAAGTGTGTTTATCGTGTGGGTCTGCCGCTCTAGAATACTTCCACGCCAGGGGCAGGGGAAGCAGACACGCCCCTGCCCAAACGCAGCTCCCATTCCACGGGGGGGGGGGGCAGGTAAAACAAACGTTCCACTATTAGTTCATACATGCCAAAGAGAGGAACATCTGGTGGGGGCAGAGCTATGAAGTATGTGTGTAGAGGAGAGTGTTGGCTGTGGAAGCCATCCCAGGTGACCTTGGTAAAGACCGAAAGGAATGAAGGCCAAGTGTCTGTAGATCTCTTCAGGCAGAGCCTTCTAGGGAGAGGAGCACATCGTACCCGCCTGGGTAACACCGGAGTTGCCACGGGAGGGACCAGGAGAAGTACCACAGAGAGTGAGTGGAGGAGTGGGGGATGGGTGCAGAAGACACAAAATGAGGTGGTGCAGTGTGTGTGTGTGCCTCAGCACACGGTGGTCTACGTGTCTGTGTGTGTGTGTACAAGTACAGGTGGTCTCTGTGTCTGTGTGTGTGTGTACAAGTACAGGTGGTCTCTGTGTCTGTGTGTGTGTGCCTCAGCACACGGTGGTCTACGTGTCTGTGTGTGTGTGTACAAGTACAGGTGGTCTACGTGTCTGTGTGTGTGTGTACAAGTACAGGTGGTCTACGTGTCTGTGTGTGTGTGTACAAGTACAGGTGGTCTACGTGTCTGTGTGTGTGTGCCTCAGCACACGGTGGTCTACGTGTCTGTGTGTGTGTGCCTCAGCACACGGTGGTCTACGTGTCTGTGTGTGTGTGCCTCAGCACACGGTGGTCTACGTGTCTGTGTGTGTGTGCCTCAGCACACGGTGGTCTACGTGTCTGTGTGTGTGTGCCTCAGCACACGGTGGTCTACGTGTCTGTGTGTGTGTGTACAAGTACAGGTGGTCTCTGTGTCTGTGTGTGTGTGCATTAGCACACGGTGGTCTCTGTGTCTGTGTGTGTACAAGCACACGGGTGGTCTCTGTGTCTGTGTCTCTGTGTACAAGCACACGGGTGGTCTACGTGTCTGCGTCTGTGTGCATCAGCACACGGGTGGTCTATGTGTTTCATGTGTACAAGCACGCATCATGTCTGTGCATCTGCATGTATCTATGTACATGGGTCTCCATGTCTGTGTTGTTTACCTTTCTGTCACCACAAGCCTCTGTGCATGTGTTATGTGGTGTCTGCCTGTCTGTCTATGTGTCCATGTCTGTGCATGTGTATGGGAGCCTGCCATCTGTCTGTCTGTCTGTCTGTGTCCATGTATATGGGTGTCTGCCTGTCTGTCTGTGTCCATATGTGTCCATGCGTGTGGGTGTCTGTCTGTGTCCATGTGTGTGGGTGTGTGTATATACAGGTGTTGTTGGTTTTTGTTCTTTTGGCTTTTTTACTCTTTCACTCTCTGGGGAGCCTGCCACCCAGTTCCCAAATGAATCACTTGGATGGAGGCTTAACTTTACTTATAAACACCCAGTTTTCCTTACCTGGAATTATCGCATCTACCTTTTGCCTTTGGCCTTTGCTTTTCTTACTTCTGTATATTTTAATTTCACTCTTACTCCATGGCTGCCCCTCATGTCCTCCTGTTCTCGTTCTATCTTGCTCCTCCCTCTCTTCCAGAGTTCTTCTATTTACTCTCTCTGCCTTCCAGCCCCGCCTATCGTTGCCCCTGCCTTGCTATTGGCCGTTCAGCTCTTTATTAGACCATCAGGTGTTTTAGACAGGCAACGAATCACAGCTTCACAGAGTCAAAACAAATGCAGCGCAAACAAAAGCAGCACACCTTAACATCATTAAACAAATGTTCCAGAACACCAACAAATGAAACACACCTTTAAAATAATTTCCCACAGCACACAGACTTCCCACAGCTTGCACGGAGCCCCATAAACCCTAAACACACCGTTAGCTCTCACTCGGAGTGTGATGGAGACACTTTGACAACTATGGAGACGAGGAGGGGTGTCTGATGTGTTCTGCAACTACCCTAAAAGTTCCCTGAAGGGAGGCAGCACAGACTTAGAGACAGAGGGACAGAGAGCCTGCTGCAATAACCCAGCTAAAACGGATCAGTTGGTTAGTGGCGTGCGGAGATAATGGTCCAATTTTGATTTGGGGTGTGCTTTGAGGGTTAGGGCTGACAAGATGTGCCGAGCAGCTGTGACATTTGAGATGCGTGAAGGAGGACCATAGAGTTTGGTGTCAGCCCTGGGTGGGATGGCACTGCTGGCTAAGGGGGTAAACCCTTTAGAGGAGCAGTCTGGGTGCCATCCTGGGCTGAGCTCCTGACCCGCCGAGCGTGAGATCCCGGGAGACATGAGAGGAAGCGCCAGGAAGCAGGGTGAACCTCCAAGTACAAGGGCACATTTGGGCATGCCTGTGGTCGGTGTGTGAATCCATGGCGAGCCAGACATTCCAGAGCTGGCGGTGAAGCAGAGAAGGGAAGGTCCGTGTCCCTCTCCCAACTCACGGCCGAGGAGACAGGAGGAAACAGCGAGACGGTAAAGTAGCTGGGCAGGGGAAAGGTAGGAATCCTGGGACCACTTGAGGGACAAGGTCTAAGAAGAACCGTGTGGGGCCATGGTTGTGGCCAGCCCCTCGGGGAGAGACCCACAGCTGTGAAAGCAGAGAACCAGATACAGCTCACAACTGACCTTGACTAAAGCTGTCTCAAGAGAGAGGCACCAGGGTGCCCTTTGTGAATAGCTCAGAGAAATAGACCTTGGAGGAGGAGATGGCTCTTTTTAAAGGGAAGAAGTAAAAGATTTGGAGTGTGGCCAGGTGGTGGTGACTGCTCTTAATCCCAGCACTCAGGAGGCACAGGCAGGAAGATCTCTGATTTCAAGGCCAGCCCAGTCGAGAGAGAGAGAGAGAGAGAGAGAGAGAGAGAGAGAGAGAGAGAGAGAGAGAGAGAGAGAGAGACAGAGAGACAGAGAGACAGAGAGACAGAGAGACAGAGAGACAGAGAGACAGAGAGACAGAGAGACAGAGACAGAGACAGAGACAGAGACAGAGACAGAGACACAGAGACAGAGAGAGAGAGATTGAGAGAGAGAGAGAGTTCTAGGACAACCAGAGATATTACGTAGAGAAAACTCTGTCCTGGGGTCATGGAGACTGGGTGTGCATGCGTGCATGCGTGAGTGTGTGTGTCTGGGGGGGGCTTGAAAGAAAATGGCCCCCAGAGGGAGTGACGCACTTGTTGGGAAGTGTAGCCTTGTTGGAGAAAGTGTGTCACGGTGGAGGTGGACTTTGAAGTCTCTTTTGCCTAAGCTTCCCTCTGTGTCACAGTCAATTTCCTGTTGCCTGCAAGACGTAGGACCCTTAACTACCACTCCAGCACCACACCTGTCTGCACGCCACCATGCTCCTGCCGTGTTCCCATCAGGGTGATGGTGGGCTGAAACTCTGAAACTGTAAGCCACCCCAATTGAATGCTTTCCTTCGTAAGAGTTGCCATAGCCATGGTGTCTCTTCACAGCAATAGACACTTAAACTAGGACAGTGTGTGTGTGTGTGTGTGTGTGTGTGTGTGTGTGTGTGAGAGAGAGAGAGAGAGAGAGAGAGAGAGAGAGAGAGAGAGAGAGAGAGGTGAGGACCTTTTGCTATTCAATAATGTCTTTGTAATCATTTTTAAGAGGGTGCCCCTTTGTCTCCTGCCCCAGAGCATATACCTTGGAGACTGGAGGGCAGTCTCCTAAGGGCAGGGACAACAGGTAGCCATGCCTCTGGAACTGTCCCATCTGTCTCCTACAGAGGACTGTGGAAAATGGTTCACAAAATGCTTTTTCTTCTAAACCCTTGTCCACTTAACTTTGCACTAGGATGATTTAATTTGCTGTCATTTAAAAATAAATAAGACATACATTTCATTGTTCTAGAATGCTAGCGGTAGAAAGTACTCTTTATTTCATTTAGTATTTTCTGATGAGGAAACCAGAATCCAAAAGCAACTTATTAATAAACATTGTGTCATAAAATATATACTGAAGCCGGGCGCATGCCTTTAATCTCAGCACTCGGGAGGCAGAGGCAAGAGGCAGGTGAATCTCTGTGAGTTCAAGGCCAGCCTGGTGAACAGCCACCGCTCCGTGGATCAATCAGGTTTCTTTGCTAATATCTGACCCCCGAGCATTATTTATTAATAAAGCAATAAACAAAGCCACAATACTGCCGACTTCCCTTGAGCAGTGATGTGGAAGGGTTAGCCAAATGAAGCCCCAAGTTCCCATGGTCACCTTGGTCAAGGTGTCTCTTCACAGCCTTAATAACCCCAGCTGAGACGGTACCCAAGTCCAAATAGGAGGCGGGATTCCTAGGAGGCTGGGGATCCGCTTATCCTAGCATATGTAGCAGTGAACAGAGACTGTTAAACAGGGTAGGAGGTGAGGGCCTGCACCACGGGTCCCAGGAGGATGCATGGCTCCTTCCTGTGGAGTCAGAGCTGACTTGGTGAATGACTGAACAGTAACTATGAACGGGAAATAACAATATCAATAAAAATAGATAACAGTAGAGAAGAGACACACCTCTCTCTCTCTCTGTGGTTCCGAGCAATGGCTGTTCCTGCGAAGTGTTAAGGGAAACACCTCAAGAGCCAAGGTGGTGTCCTGTTTTTTTTTTTTGTCATGGCGACTATTATGAACACCACAGCTCCAGGACTTTGGGGAATTAGTCCGCCTAACAACAAATATGTCCTGTGCCAGCAACTTCCCGGCAGGACACGCAATTTGTCGGTCTATGTAATCCTCTGTTGTTTACACTGGCTTTTTTTTTTTTGCGCCACTAAGAACACTATATGAAAGATGACATTGTAATTCTTTTGGCGCGGCCAATATAGTGGCCCACAAAAGTTGGTGAAGCAGCATGAATGAAGCAGTCTGTCCTCCAGTTTCTAGAGCTCCCCTACTGTACAGGAGAAAAGCTAAGAACAGAATTCTGCTATGTCACGTCCACTTCCAGTGGAGTAAAAAAAAAATTAAAATATGAATACTACAGAATTTGATAGTCGCTGAGCTTAATTTTATTAATCAAAGGATAAGTGACTTAAATATTGGATGGAGCATTAAGTGTAAACTCTCAAAAAAAAAAAACCTCCTGTAATTGTCTAATCTTTATCCTTTGCAAATAGTCCTCTGTGAACAACCATTTTCAGCTTATAATCTTGTCATGAATACAGTGATTTATCATTTATACCTCAAATATACTCCTAACTCAGAAAGCATGGCTTGTCTTTTTTCTTTTGAAAAATTTTTGCTGACTTCTTGTTTGTTTGTTTGTTTATTGGGGACGTATGTATGACTTGACACACAGAGTGGAGTTCAGATGACAACCTGCGGACCCATTTCTTCCCTTCTGCCATGTGGTCTTTACCGATGGTGGAAATAGCTGGCCATGCTTGGCAGCAAGCATTGTAACCATCTTGGCAGACGGGAAAAGTAACTCGTTCTTTTCCCTCTTTATAGCTCTGTTTTTTGCAACGCGGATCCAGGTCCTAAGCCTGCTGCCCTGACCTCTGGGAACTCGCTCTGACCTCCTCTCCCGGAAGACCCACCACCACCACCACCACCACCACCACCAACACACACAGTTACTGTTTCGTCTGCCTGCTTTCTTACCGCTACCTCAGAGAGCATGACCTCCTCTCTTCTTACCCATCTCCTCCTCCCGCTGCCCAGGGCTCCAGCACGCCTGCTCTGTCAGTCCAGTAAGACTGTCTTTGAGTTTCTACCCATTTTGTTGTTGTTGCTGCTGCTGTTTTCAATTCTTTTAATTACAAGACTAAGAACCTGCAGGAGGGAGCCTTCTGCTCTCTGGTGACAAACGGAGTCACATAGTATCCATTGACAAAGGGAGTCACATAGTATCCATTTAGGAAGGCGTGATTTTGGGAGGTAACTTGCTGCTTGGAATCTGCCAGAAACAGCTATGTGGGAACTTCTCTTAAAGATCAGAGTTCAGAGGTTCCGGGTTGCAGTTTCCCGTACAACCTTTCCTATTTCGCCAGTGAGTTTTAGCTTCCAAGACACTTATGTAATACTCCATTTGTGTAAGGAAAAATCAAGCTAACTGGCCAATATTTCACATGTCCACAATTACACCTACTTAAATGGCGTTGATCTGCTCCCCAGAGCACCTGGAAAATTCTGGCTGACTGTTGATCTCAAGGCAGAAGTTTTTTGTTTTTGTTTTTGTTTTGTTTGAGACAGGGTCTCACAGCTCAGGCTGGCCTCAAACTCACTATGTAGCTGAAGGTAACCTTACACCTCCAAGTTATGGGCACGCACAACCACATCTGGCCTATGCCGAGCTGGGGACTGAACCAGGGGCTTTGTGAATGCTAGGCTAGAGCTCTATAGACAGAGCGCATTCCCAGTTGTGCAGAGGATTTCTACAAAGGATGGTGTTCAGAGTCCTACGCATGGTAACGTTTGCTTTGCCTACTCTTGGACAAGCGTGACTATGATTCCTTACAACCATAACATTTTTATTTTAATGGCCATGGCTCTGACTGTGACCTTGACCTCCAGACCCTTTGCAATATTTAATAAATGCGGCACACGTACTCCCAGTGCAATGTTTAATTTCTAGGGTAAAGGGGGACCATACTTGACTATGCTTCAGAATCACACTGGTTTTGAAGTGTGTGCATCCATACTCTAATGTGGATAATCTCTGTATACACGAAGTAGTGGCATTTGACATGCTATACATTCTTCGTTTGCTCTGGTAATTGTAAAGAAACAAACATGAATCCCATTTTTATACATGAAAAAATATAAATGGGAGTATTTTTTTTAATTTTTAGCCTAATGAGTGGAAATGGCACTGAGCTGATATTGTTTTTCTTTAAGGGTGTGTGTATGTGTGTGAGAGAGAGAGAGAGAGAGAGAGAGAGAGAGAGTGTGTGTGTGTGTGTGTGTGTGCGTGTGTGTATGTGTGTTATATACACAGTCATGTATGCGTATGTGCACATGGGTGTGGATGTGTATGGGCGTGTGTGGTGGGCAGTGGTCCATCCCGGGCATCTTCCTCTATTGCTCTCCATCTTATGTTTTGAGATAGGGTCTCTCACTGAACCTGGAGCCCGTTAAGGTGATGTGAGCGGCTAGCCACTGCGCCCTGGGCTCTGCATGTCTCTATCCTTCAGCTCTGGGTTGCAAACAGATGACGGCACCCGGCATTCGAGAGGGGTGCCGCGATCTGAATTCCGGTCCTCGGGCTTGTGCGTCTTAGTTTCTTCTCTTGCTGCTGCGGTACAGTACCCAACAGAAGCAATCCACCAGAGACTGGGTTTGTTTGGCTCAGGTTACAGCCAATCACGACAGAGAGGGAGCTGGCCGCAGTTCGTTCAGTCGGAAGTAAGGAGAGCCACGGATTTCTGCATGCTAGTTCCCAGTTTGTCCTCTCCATCCCACACAGTCCAGGCTTCCCTGCTCAGAGAGTGGTCCTGACCGCCATTCAGGCGGGTCATCTGCGTCAACTAACTTAATCAAGGCCGTCACTCAAAATCATTATCAGATGCTAAACTTAATCTGGAAAGTCCTTCCCAGATATGTGGTCCTCCCCAGGATTGGAACTTAGTGGACCTGAAATCTACCCCATCCCTTTCCCTGCCTTGTTATTAACCCTCAGCGGCTTGGTCGTGTTTCCCCTTTCTGGACAGGAAGGAGTATGAGAAGAGAAAAAGACAGGGCGTCTAAAGCTCTGGGGGCTCGCCCATGGCAGAGGAAGCAAACTGAGGGCAGGCTGCTTTCCTCTCGGCTTCAGAAAGGAAAACCGGAAGGAAAGGGAAGGGAGTGGCGGGGATGGAGGGGTCTGAGCACACATGAACAGACGAAAAGAGTTGGAGTCCTGGAGAAATCTCACAGCTCCATCAAGAGGCAGAATTGTGTTCCGCTAACCCCAGCTGGCCGTCCCTCCCAGCCTTGATCATGGCTTCATGTTACTCTTTAAATTTTACAGCAGGAACCCACAACCCATCACCCCAAGTTCCCTTCCCTCTAACAAGAAGGTACAAAAACGCAGAGTGAAGGGAGCTGGGTTTACTTTATGCACACGGCCCAATTTTCCTTAGCTTTAGTCCAGGGCACTGGCACCTATGTTTATTTTCTTGGTTGGGACCAAGCATTTTTAGAAGGCTCCTCAGCAGGCTAATGACAGAGCTCGATTCGGCACAGCTGTGGACTTCTCAGAGTGGCCCTGGGCTGCCAGCCACGCCTCCAGCACACCTGGTGTTCTAAATCACACACTCGTCAATGGCAGGGCCTTCCTGAGCCCATTGCCGCGAGGAAGTTTTATTAAGCATAACACGTATGAAAGAAGCAAACGCCCAAGCCTTGAGACTTAAAAAAAAAGCTGCTGGCTAACTCTTTTCAGTTCTAAACAAAAAAGTATTGCATCGAAGTAAGAGATTGGTGGTGCCCATGTCAGTAGGAAAAAATAAATCTCCCCCCTGCTCCTGCTGCTAAATAAACTCATCCCTCTCTCACCTGGGTCTAAAGCACCTGCACTCATATTCTAAAGCAAACGATCCAGACCCGCGGGAAGCAATGGGTGTTAGCGCTATAGGCGTGGCACGATCATACATCACAGGTAAGAAGAGCACCCCCCTTTAGGAACAATGCCCTCCCTCCCGCTGCCCACTTCTCTGTCTCTCTGGACAGGGTCTCAGAAAGACCAAACTACTGTTTATTTAAGCATGCTATGCCTGGTTGTATTTTGTGCCGGACAAGCACCGACCAAGAGCTCCATCCTCCATCCCTTATGTTTGGGCTTTTTAATTCGATTTTCGTCTTTAGAGTCAGGGTCTTACTATATGCAGTCCCATCGGGGGATCGTACTCCTTACGTGGCTCAGGCAGACCTCAAACTCACCACAATCCTGCTGTCTCAAGCCTCCTGAGCCTGGGAACACCGGCTGTTTCCCACCACGCCCAGCATCACTTTTAATCTGTCAGCCCATCGCTGGCCAGCATGCCACCTTCGTTTAGCATTTTTCCTTGTATTTCAGAGGATGCGGTTTGAGTGTGAAGTGTCTCAGTGGAGTCACATCTCTAGTTGACGGTGCTATGATAAAGCTTGAGGGGGACCTTGCTTGGGGAACCTTGGTGGATTCCATGACAGGTGAGGGTGACAGAGGCTGGGGACAAACACACCAGGGAGATTAAGAGCTCAGTGAGAAGTTTTATTAGGAATGGGGAAGGAAAGAGAAGAGAGGTAAACACACACACACAGAGAAACCCGACAAGCAGTTGGCCTCACTGGCTGGAGTGAGAAGCCGGTGAAAAAGGCTTATTCCCCTGGATGGGCGTCCCGTGTGCCCGCCATGCATGCTAGGTGGAGAAGCCTGACTTCAGAATTCAGACAAGTTACAGAAAGAAGGGAGACCCGGTAAAGGAAGACACGCAAGCCAACCCAAAACAGACAACAACAAAGAACAGCAGAAACGCAGCACCTTGGAATTCGGAGCTGCTGTTCTGTGAATTTTTACTTCAGTTCGTGCATTTTGTGTACAGGATTTGGTGAGATGAATTTCTGCTGAGCAAGGGATACTTATAGAACAGTGCTGCCATGAAGCAGGGTTTCCCTCTGCACGTCCTCCCAGGTCCATGGTTTGCAATTACGTCATGCCATCACCTTGACAAAATGGACACAAGTTGTGAAGCACAGCTGAGACTGGAATCTGCATTTCCCTCCTTTTTACCAGTCACAGAGCCGCCTGCGCTTCCCCTGAGACATGAACAGTCCTAGTGATGACACAGACACACACACAGACAGACCGGCAGACAGACGCACAGAGACACAGAGACACACAGATACACACAGAGATACACACACACAGGCAGACAGACACACATACACAGACACACAGAGAAATACACACAGACACATACACAGAAACACAGACATAGACACACAGACACACACACAGGTGTGTGTTTGGGGGAGACATCAACAAGCCCAGCCCTGAAAAATCTGATTTAGCTTTAACAACCGTATTCAAAATCTAAACTGGCCCACTTCATGGATGCTGTAAATTGTGCTGGAGTGGGAACAGCCAAAAGTAGGGTGATTGACACAACTGGTTTTTCTGTTTTCTGGTCCCCTCCCCCACTCTAGTGTTTCATTTAAAAGCACTCTATCTTAGTTTGATTTGGTTATCCCAAACAGAAACCCCTCAACGTCAGCCGCCCCGTCTCTCTGTCCCAGTTCCTTTCTGAATCCGTTCTACAGAAGCAAAGGGCTTTTAACGCTCACTCACACACAGCAGTGAGTTCTCACGCGCGTGTGCACACGTGAGTGCACTGAAGTGTAGCAGCGTCTCCAGAGTTTAAACGCTGTCAAGAGCAAAAAAAAAAAAAAAAAGCGAAATATTGCTACTATCTTTTCATGAGAAATTTGTGCCCTCTTAAATGTGTTTTTAAAAAAATGAACTTAAAGACTTAATGAACACTGTTCGGTTGCAAAGGCCGTGGGAATAGAGGACACGGAGCAGGTGTCAGCAGCGTTGTGGTGAAGACAGGGTTTACTGGGCTGACAAGCAAAGAGGTCAATACAAAGCAAAGGGAGTCCTGTGAAGGGTCCCAAATTACACTTCTGGGGCTTTGATTAAAAGGTGTTAGGGAACTGACTGTTTCCAACATCAAATTATAGTGTCTGCTGGGGCCAGCGGGGGCCCTAGAAAACAATGGCTTAAAAAACAAAGCAATAACCCCCCCCAAAGGGGATCTTCATCTCAAGGCCGTAACTTCGTGGGGGGGGTAGGGAGGGGCTGCCACTTGGGAGATCTTTCTGCTTGCACAAGGCAGATGGTATGAACTGGCTTTGGGGGGCCTGGGAGAGTACAGGAATGCATTTGGGAGATCCCCGGGGGAACGTTGCAAAGAGAGCTCTCCATTGTTCTTTTCCGAGCCTGATGGGTTTGCCTGTCAGCAGGATCCCCTGCCAGCCTGCTGCCCACTCGGCCCACCACTGTTGGGCTCCTGGTTGTCCCCTTGGCATCCGAGCACCGCCCAGGTGACAAGTGGCTTTGTGTTATCAGAGCGGGATTCATTCTCCTTATCTCCTGGGTGTCCTTGCTGCACCTCTTTGACCCCCTGCTGCGCCCTTCCTCCTTTACGAATACTTCCAGTAGCTTTCATGATCCTCCTTATATTTTCTTTTATATCCTGCGTCTATTTTGTAAATTCATAAAGTCTTTCAAATGCTCAAACTTCTTATTTCATTTTTATTTTATTTTATTTTTTTTGATATGGGGTTCTGTTAACTGAGGCTGGTCTCAAACTTGTGTGCCCTAGAATGACCTTGAACCCATGAACCTCCCAAGTGCTCACGGTTACAGCTGTGTGGTACCGGCCAGCTCCGGAAAATGGTATCTTCAGCATCAACACGAACAGAGGAGGCAAGGGGTGCAAAAGGAAACCAACACTAGGAAAGTTAAATAGAATCAACTGGCTAAATCCCATTCCAGAGGCACGGTACCCAAATGATCTCTCTGGTTGACCAAGTAATTACGGGCTGGATCTACGGCTCTCGCATAACAGGGCTGCTGTCCTCTGAGGGT